TTGAGTGGAGGCACTAGGTGACCTCAGCCTGGCTTGAAGTTGTCCGCACTTCCTGTGGACAGCTGCACATTCCACTAGTGAGTAACAGTAGTGACGGACAAATGAGACGGAGCTCGGGAGCACGTCTCGTTCTTTCTGAAACAAATTGCTCTGAAGCTCTGCCTCGGAGCTCGTCTCACAGCAGCCGCTCACGTGACCAAAGTGTGGAAGTGTCGGTCCCTCCCCCTACTGCTTCACTCTGTGTGTCAATCGCTTCAGTGTATCGAAGCGTTTCATTGGCTCAGTGAATGTTCTGCTCTGTGATTGGTTCAGAGTGTGCGTCAAGAGTGTTCAGCAGTGCACTTCTGTGGTTTGACAAAGCGCTAAACTGCTACAATATAAAAGATGCACCAATATTTCTTAAAAATGTTGGGTAGTGAGGAGTATTGTGTGACGTTAGTGGAGACTTTTGGCAACTTTTGGCATTTGTTTCATTTTCGATGGCATCTACAAGTGGAAAAAAGTGATCCATGATTTGGGATCAATTTGATCTAATTCCACCTAACAAGGTCACCTCTTTTCTTATTTACAGCTGCTATTTATGTTGCTCTTTACATAATATTTTAACTCATCGGTATCACTTTATAATAACTACACCTTATTTAGCCTTAATAAAGCATGAACAAAGACTTAATTAATAATGATTCACGCTTAGTAACTACTTAATTACTACCTTAATTAGCACTTGCACTTAATTTGCCTGTGCTGTAAATAGTTACTCATAATTATTTCATACTTAATTACTCATGAACTAACCATTTGAGCATTTATTAATCATTAGTAAACTATGAGAGAATGATTTACTAATAATACAAAGCAATAATAATTCAGGCAGCTGTTATCTGTTAGTTAAGTCTTTTTGGGAGCTTTTCTAATGTGAAGACAAATTATGCTTTATTAAGCATTTACTAAGAGTGAATCATTATTAATCAAATCTTTGTTCATTATTAATTAAGTCTTTGTTCATGCTTTATTAAGACTAAATAAGGTGTAGTTATTATAAAGTGTTACCAAATCATCATTATTATTGTTGTTAGGTACGGTGTCGCTCTGCACACAACTATTGTCTTACACTAACAATACATCGATGCTGAGACACCTGCGTACCAATGGTTAAATTTGTCCACTAGAGGTCAGTGTTTCTCCAAGGCCTCAGACACGTCGAACCATTTGAGACAATATTGCGACTGAGGTGTCGATGCTTCTCGAGGCTCCATTCGCCCATCACTAAGTAACAGATTTTTATTTATTTTTTCATTTGTACCAAAATGACTAGACAACTCTGCAGACTCCCACATGTATCACTGATTAAGAAAATAAAACTGGAGAACGAAATAAGCGCAGAGGAGTCGGTGGCAAAATTATGTCTTGAAAATAAGCTATTAAAGAAAGCTCAAACATGCTCGAATCCCTCCAAATACAATTCTGGGCGAGTAAATGGTGAGAGTGAACAACTATAACATGGTTATAAGCTCTGAAAAGTTGATTTTGCAGAATAGAGCTGCTTTAATACAAAGTTTACTGGCAGCAGTGGCAAAACAAAGCAAGACACTTCACCTGCATGATATGAAAGTGTTGTGTGGGTGCGTGTTGGTGGTCGAGGAGTTAACAGCGCAGATTAGCAGCCTCAATTTCATCAATCTACTCCAGGGCAGCTCTGGGTACAATAGAATCTTACAAATGTGAATGAATAATGCAGTGTAAAGCACTTGGGAGTCTTGAAAGGCTCTATAACAGGGGTGGGCAATTCTTATTTTCCATGGGGCCACATGAGAAACAGAAAATATTGTGGAGGCCAAAATGATTAACTCAGTTCTGCATAATATTTACTCTATTTCTTTAAAAAAGAAACTGGCGCGTTCACGGTGACTCTGGGCTTTGTTCAGTTGTGGCGTGTAGGGAGGGGGCTGTCTGGGACCAACTGGATTGTCGGCGTGTTCGCAGTGACTCAGTTGTTCAGTTGTGGCTCAGAAAGGCACATTGGACTCGCTTTTTTGGTTGTGGTGCGGCTTTTTAGTTTACTGGAGTCATGCTGGGACACCTGAGTGGATTCGTGTATAGGGTGCTCTGGATTGCAGGGTGCGCCGTCGTTTTTTGATGGGGTTAGAGGCTTAAGAGCGCGTCTAATGGCCCCGAAAATACGGTATATTTACACCGTCTTGTATCTTTCCCTAGCCAGGCTGGCGCCACCTAGTGCCTCCGCTCAGTTTCATTTCTCTCCAGTGACTAAGTCAGGAATCAAAATACAATAGACAGTTCACAAAACCCCAGAAGTGCAAGTTCGGGCACCAGCCAATCAGTGAAGAGCCATATATTCTGTGTTGTCATCAATTCCCGAGATCGAGGATTTAAAGCCGGAACAAAGAGAATGTTTGGTGAATTTTATCAAGGAGAAAGACGTTATTGTCCTTCTTCCTACGGGATTTGGGAAAAGCTTAATATACCAGTTAACCCCGTTAGAGGCACATTACATACATCACGACCAAATAGCAGTGATTGGTTAAATAAAAAAAAGTGCCTGCCTACCGTTCTGCAACAGACTTGGGAAGAACTTTCTGAACAATATTTGATTTCTATTGTAAAAAGAACGAGCCACGAGTGTGTTCAGCTGTTCTATCTGCCAAAGGTGGACACTTCCATGAATGAAAAGTTTGGAATACATTTTGGTTAACAGTAAAAAAGTGGAAAAAGTGTGGTGTTCTAAAACTTTTGACCGGTAGTGTACTCCCCGCCAGGAAAGTTACACAGTGCCTCTTTAAACAGAGCCCAGCACACAAACTGTTCTTCCTCCTACCATCCAGCAAACATTATCTCAGCGTGCGATGCGACACAACCGGACTAAGAAACACACACACACACTCCCACAGGCCATCAGGCTAATCACACACTCAAAAAAATCTATGAACATGTGAACCACTACATCCAAAACCACTTCATACATTCCATATCCACCATATCCATACTGCTATTTCTGCACTCTGCATTTTACAGACTGCACCTTCATTATTTACCCAAAACAGCCGCCTCATTTCTTTCCTTGTTAGAAGTGTATATATCCCTTATCTGTCTGCCTGTATATTTTGTGTTTATTTTATTTATTATCGATGTCTCTCTGTGTGGTGTGTGTGTGTGTGTGTTGTAGTTTTTAATTTGCACGAAGTTTGGGGAAACACAATTTGGATCCCCCTGTGTAATGTCTGTTACTTGGTGTGATTGACAAGTTCACTTTGACTTTGACTTTGGAAAAAATAGAAAGCCTGTGGAGCTGTAAACAAATGATGCATCCTGTCTTTTCATAATCATTTGTTGCCATTTTGAGCCGAGCTGTATATTTTTCATACATTTCAATTATTTTTTTTGCAGAAATCATCACAGATGTTATTTTTATAGCACGATAATATAATCATAATAATACATTTGAATTATATTTATGTATTGGAACAAAATGCAAAATGATTTGCTTGATGTTTACTTGTGTGTTTATTAAACCAGCCATAAAATAAATGCAAAGTGCTGCTTGGTAATACTAATAAGTTAAATAAAATATTCTCAAATAAGCAACAAATGTATGAAATATTATAAAAAATAAATTTCTTGTAAACAGTAAACAAAACTTTTCTATCTTTTGTCTTTTGTCTGCAGTAAGTGCAGATCTGCAAAAGGTGAAAGTGAGAACCAGGAAGTCAGATTGATTATTGTTTAAACTCTGTTAGAAACAGAATTTACAATGTAATGGTTATTTCTTTTACACAATAGGAGTAAATAGTGTATCAGAGGAAAGACTACTGTTGATAGTGATAGTCATCATAGTTAAAAGGTTCTATTTTAAAGGACCCATCTCATGCAAAATCAACTTTTCAGAGCTTTCTACCTTCTAAGAGTGATGTGTGGGCCTTGTATATGTCGCTGAAGTGGTTTTTAGATTGACTCTGTTTTTTTTTTTTAACAAATTGCAGTGTATTTCTGCCACCCTCCCACGTGACAACGAACTAAAGCTGCTACAACGATGATGCGGCAGATACACCTATGACATGTTTGACTTAGCAGAAAGCACTTCACACCCGCCCCCCTCCCCCGCTCCACCGCCTCCACCCCATGTCAGTAATAATATTTATATTTCAAGACGATATGAAATATTACCTTCGGAACTTCCTGGCAGCAAACGTTCTGTTTCTGTGGGCATCAGCTGACAATTCCCACATGAACACCTAAACAAAAGCGACAGCATAAGCTCATTGTTCTACACTGCAGTGTCCACGATATGATAAGTTTATCTACTAGTGTTTATTAATACTTTACCAATCAATAATGTTCACCTGATGTCGACGCGGTGCTTGAGCTTCGTGCACCTCTGAGTCCTCGTCCGATTCCGGGTTCAACACATGCGGCTGAACGTGCTGTATCTCCATGATGAATAAAAGTTTATTCCTACCACTATCAGGGTGCACGTCTGTCTCCCCCTCCCTCCCTGAGATGGGCGGAGGAAGGGCGGCTCACTCAGAGCCTACGTCACGTTTGGAGGGCGGAGCCTGTGCTTTCTCAGGACGGGCGGGGGGATGAGCAATAGTCGGCCTTTCATAGTTCCTGGTCTGTGACTGTCTCCAAGAAATCAGTAAGATTTCATAACTATTGTGTAATGGATGTTCCAAAACCCAAATTGTGCTTGTTTATGTGCAGAAGACACAATGTGAAAAGAGTTATTTTGTATGAGATGGGACTTTTAAACAAACTGATACTTTAAGTCCTGTTGAAATGTTGTTACCTCCTTACAAACAGACCTGGAGCCGTGTTTTATTTCATTCACGCATGTTTGAGTAACTCTTTATTATTAGTGTGTGTACAGTTTGTTCAGGAGTTTATATAACACCAACACTAGTAATCATTTTCAACATGTTCTGTATTTCTTGTATGTGCTGCACACTTGTGGATCACCATATGCACGTTTCCAGCTAATCCTGACAATGACAGAGGTGGAGACAGTCTACCTTCAGGGCCCATATTGCTCCAGTGAGCCGAGCCAGCGAGTGTGTTTGGGTTCTGTCTGCCCGGGTCCCAATGGGAGCAGACGCAGCGCTACAGCCAGACCCATCACCGTCGCCCAAATCTCGGGGGACCCCTCAGCCTTCTCTGCCAATGTTCCCTCCGAAAGCTCCAAGTCAACTCGGCGCTCTTCAAAAACATGCCCACCTCTGAGTCACCCGCCGCGCAGTCTTTCCGCATCACGCTCACTCATTTCCAATTACCGGGCAGCTAGCATGCGCCGATCCGAGACAATGGCTCACCAAACCTGATTACCTGTTCCCATGGCGATGCCGGGACAACAGATGAAGTCCGGAGTGAGGACGGAGGGGGACTGCAGAGCCTGGAGACTGTGGATTGAGTAAAATAAAAGGTAATAGCATGTTGAGAATGACCGGTGTGTGTGATATAAAGGCTGAGCAGGACTGGCTCTGGTTACAGCTCAGAGGGGAGGCTGTTGGGAATATCAGGCCGGGCAGCAGTGGATATATTGTGCACTGTTTTTGTGTGTGTAGCCTCCTTTGTTGGACCTGACGTTCACATTTTGGGTTGTTCAGGCACTTAATAAATAGTTTTTGCAAATCATTATTCAATTGTGACTTTGTTGTGTTCCATCAAAATGATTAAAACTAAATCAGTGTTGTATATATCATATGTGGACCTCATTTTTTTCAGAAACTACATTATGAAAAAACTAGGGCTGGTCAAAAAAAAAAAAAAAAAAAAAAAAAAAATCGCAGTAATCACATGAGCTCCTGTGATTAATCATGATTAATCGCATGTTACACACAAAACCAATTAATGAAAGTAGTGTTTCGTGACTTTTATTGGAAATGTAAATGAAAGTGCCACATTTGTTGTGCAAACAGAGCATTTCTTTACACAGGAGCAGGCACTAGTCTGTAAAGTCCATGTTTATTCTTCTTCCTTTAGAGAATCTCACTCAAAAAAAAGAGAAGCAATTTCAGTGCAGTTTGTCAATTCCGAGAATTTGACTGAATGAATTGAATTGAAAAGTAAAGTGCACGTGATCAGCAGCGGTAAAATAAAGTGGGTGATGTGGGGAGCGAGAGGATCGAGACTGATATGGGAGGTGGATTGGGCGGGATTGATTAAAATGATTTCAGATTTGGAGGTGTTGAGTTGTAGGATGTTCTGTGCCTTCCAACTGTTCACGTCACTGAAGCAGTTTAACACAGATAAATGAACAGTGTTGGGAGTAACGCGTTATAAAAGTAATGAATTAGTGTTAAATTATTCAGGCATTGCTTTTTGCTGTAACGCAGTAATATAAGGCATTACAAGGGGGAAAAAAAGTTTATGTTTTACTCGGTACAAATGTTAACAACACGAGTTACAATGCTTTTTTAACCTGGACTGAAGTTTTTTTTTATTTTTCTTCATACAAGTTCACTAAAATCACTGCAGCTGTGATTTTCCATCGTTACAGATCAGGATAGAGCCAGAGGTGAGCCCATGTAGACCACTGGGTGACCGCAGGTAAAAGGACCAGAGCAGAACTCCACACTCCACAGGGGTAATCACAGCCACAATCGGGGTTCTCTCAGGGGCGGTCCAAGATTCCAAGATTGTTTCTCGATTGGTCCTGGTTTAGTCCTGGTTTAGACCTGGTTTGGACCTGGTTCAGCTCTGGTCTAGTCCTAGTTTAGTCCTGGTTCAGTCCTCGGTTCAGTCCTGGTTTAGACGTGGTTTAATGTTGGTTCAGTCCTGGTTTAGTCCTGGTTTGCTTCTTATATGGCGCAAAAGTTCGGCATCTTCGCTCGCTGATTGTTATTTTACGATCAGCGACAGTTATTTTGGTGAGAGTAAGTTTAAAGTGCTGCAATAGTCGTGTAATGTTTTACACTTTAAATGCAGTAATATTATAATGTAACTAATGACTTGGAAATGACAGTGACAAGTCATAAATAACACATTACAGTTTTGAAGTAACTTGCCCAACTTGTTTGAATGAAAACAATCTTACCATACTGTGAAACATTCTAGACAAAGCAATAACATCCCCATGGAGAAAAGTATTTGATGAACCCTCCACCAGAAAAGTTACACAATGCACCTTTTATCGTATATTGTTGCTGTCTCCTCATGTGTACTCAATGTTTCAACAGACTCTAGTTTAGTTCATCATTTTATTTGAACAGGGGCCATGTGTAAACAGAATCATCTCAAAAGACGAGACGCTTTACACCAGATTTAGATAAAGCTACTTTCCATCTGCAGTCCAATTTAAATACATCCAAGTTTCCATCCATTGACAATCAAACCCTGCATTCTCTCATTCTTTCATTTAGAAACATCACACTCCACATTTCCATATTCAACATTTTAAATGACTAAAAACTAAATCTGAACGGCTGCATGTACACTTGCACAAGCATCAAACCTGGACTAGACGAGGACTAAACCAGGTCAGGAATGGTCAACGGTGTAACAGAATCTCATACAAATTAAAATGAACCCAACAACTGCACTGAAACTAAAACTAAATTAAACTAACTAAAATAAGGCTCACAGGTTCATTAATTGACAGACAGAGACAAGTGATTTTCAAAATGTAAAATAATTTATTATTACCGTTATATATATTTTATTTGATTAACTTTAAGAGAGACTATACAACATTCATGTAACTGCCAATTAAGAGCTTCACCAAAGCGACTGTACAATCATTTTGTCCTTAAAACGTAAAACACATCTGAAACAAAGCAGCAGCTCATTCACAGTCCCACCGCTCCACCAGATGACCCTAAGATGAACATTACAGTTGATGCTTCACTTGTTAGTAGTCAGTTACATGAACCTAGAACAGTGACCAGCCAACGTACCACAGAACACACACTTCTCAATCCACGAGGCTTGACGCCGAGCAGCCGGGATGTCTGACAGTAGAACCGACCGAACAGTGAAGAGGGGGTAACAGCGGCACTTGTAACGATCAACATCAGATACACGCAGGAGCTTTACATGACGGGCCACAACTCAGACTCTAGGAGTAATGGCACTATAATAAAGCCAAACATTAAATTATAAACTCACAAATTGTGATTAGAGAACAGCGGTTGTTTACCTGTGCACGACAAGATGGCAACCTATCCTCGAAGTGCGCTGGAGTCAGAGAACGAGACGCTAGAGAAACAGACGCGCACTGCTACATTTAGATTTACAGTCCAGTTTAGTCCGATTTTTCAGTCAGTCAGTTTCCTAGATTTTTTCAAGTCAGGTCAACTTATCAGATTTTACAATGTTGTGTCCTTAGACCCCGTTTACACTGAAACAAATCCACGTATCACCGTATCAGAAATGATCTGCGTCCAGACACATTGTTTCTGTGTCTGCGATCTTTCCTTATCCACACAGCTTTGAGTATATTTTTTTACGTTTTACAGAAACAAAACTTACAACCACATGGCTAATTTGCAAAAACTGAGTGCTCAAAACAGCTCGTTATTGTGCACTGATGCGGTTCATCTTATGATTGTCGGACTAAAGGACATGACTCAGTAGATTATAAGTGTTCTTTCTGTGACAGAGGGGTGTTCTGCTGATGGTGAGTCTGTTCTGTGCTTCTATCACGTTGGAGATGGTTCATGTTAAACTTTTCAGAGATTATATGTCTACAGGTTGTACACACAGACCGTTTATATGAATGAACATATATGTTAGCCTCTTAGCGTTTTGGCAGTGAATTACTTCGTGGCACATAGACCCACATCAGCATATCAGCTTTTTCAGTTGTTCACATGGTTCATCTTACATTCGTCGGACTAAAGGACACGACTCAGTGGATTATATGTGTTCTTTCTGTGACAGAGGAAGTGTTCTGCTGATGGTGAGTCTGTTCTGTGTTTCTATCGCGTTGGAGATGGTTCATGTTAAACTTTTCAGAGATTATACGTCTGCAGGTCATATGCATACACCGGCACTCTGGGTTCCACCATCAACCCAAAACATGCTACAGGTCTCCAGAAAGAACAGTTGATAGTCAAGGTCAGTCAATGAACCTGCTCAGGGACAACAGGTGGACATTAACACTGGTGCTAGTGGCAATAGCTGTGTCCTTAGGCAAGACACTTCACCCACATTGCCTAGTATGAAAGTAGTGTGTGTGTGAGTGATGGTGGTGGTCGGAGGGACCGATGGCGCCGATTGGCATGGCAGCCGCGCTTCAGTCAGTCTGCCCCAGGGCAGCTGTGGCTACAACAGTGTCTTACCATCACCAGGTATAGAGTGAATGAATAATGCTGAATAATGCTCTGTAAAGTGTCTTTGTGACAAAATGTCTGTGGAAAGCGCTATATAAATAAAGACTTACTCACTTACCGTATATATATGAATATATTCTAGGCTCTTAGTGGTTTGGCGGTGAATTACTTCGACCTACATCAGTGTATCAGCGGTTTCAGGCGTCCACACAGTGTTGGATCAGATCCGTACACAGATAAATTCGCGGGAGCTTTTGGTACCAGATCGTTCCGTCTCTGGAGCCGTTTTCAATCGGATTAGTGTGAACGAACACTGCATCCACAACCTCAACGAAAATGGCTCGAATACGTACCAGTGTGGACGGGGCCTTAGGCAAAACACTTGTGTGAAGTACTCGGCAATGTGACTGTGCCGAGTATGAATGAATGTGTGTGGGTGTCGCTTGTGGTTGGAGGGGTTCATGGTGCGGACTCAAGTATCTCACCACCACCGAGTGTGGAGTGAATGAATGATGCTCGGTAAAGACATTTGTGACCAGCCCATTTGTCTCTGTAATAATCAGGTAAATAAATGATAAATAAATCAAGACAAGTTTATTTGTACAGTTCATCCAAAGTGCTTTACAGTAAAAAGAAATAGATTAAAATCACAAAACAAACAAATCAGAACATAAATAATCACCAGAATATGAGCCTGGTTACTTCTTGTTTATCCATTTCTGCTAATCTTCATCCTCCAGACTCTCCTTCACCTTCTTCTTCTTCAGACTGATGCTGGAGAACACACTTGTGGTTCTCCAGCTCCAGAAGCTCCAGGACGACACGCTTTAGCCTCCTCTCGACTCAATGACCCCCTCCCCGGTGCATGTCCAAGCCCCTCATCGACACAAACTAAACAAACCTTACAAAGCCA